TGATGATGATGATGGTGATGGTGGTGGTGATGATGATGATGGTGATGATGGTAGTGATGATGATGATGATGATGGTGATGATGGTAGTGATGATGATGATGATGATGATGATAGTGATGATGATGATGATGATGATAGTGATGATGGTGATGATGGTGATGATGGTGATGGTGGTGGTGATGATGGTGATGATGGTGGTGATGATGATGATGATGATGATGATGATGGTGGTGATGATGGTGGTGATGATGATGATGATGATGATGATGATGATGATGATGGTGGTGATGGTGATGATGATGATGGTGGTGATGATGATGGTGATAGTGATGATGATGATGATGATGATGATGATGATAGTGATGATGGTGATGATGGTGATGATGGTGATGGTGGTGGTGATGATGGTGGTGATGATGGTGATGATGGTGGTGATGATGGTGACACCTGTGTGCAGGTGGGTGAAGGAGAGAAGCTGGTTCGAGCTCTGTTCTCTGTGGCCAGAGAGCTGCAGCCCTCCATCATCTTCATCGGTAACGTTCCTCTCTAACTTTTATCTGTCAAACTTTCCTGCAGATCTGTTTCATATTCGTTATGAGTGTTCTACTTGAGGAGAAAGTTGCAGCTCAGCATCCACACTCTGATTAATGGTTTGTTCTACCTGCTGACCAGAGTTCTACCTTCAGACTGTGAATGTTCCAGAGTTCCACAGAGGAGGGTCCAGATTGATCACTTTAACGGACTTTTTCCATCAGTTCTGAGCCTCAGAACTTCATCAGTACAGCAGATAGACACATGACATTTAGGAGGTGTTTACAGTGATGATCACCTTCTAGACATGAGTCACACGTGTGCTGGTCGCTGCATGTTGCTAACGCCGGTGTGTTGTGTCCAGACGAGGTGGACAGTCTGCTGTGTGAGCGGCGGCAGGGCGAGCACGACGCCAGCCGACGCCTCAAGACCGAGTTCCTCGTCCAGTTTGACGGGGTGAAGTTCTTATCGACACGCACACATTAGCTGCACCAGTCAGCAGCAAACACTGACCCTGAAAACATCTTCCAGGTGCAGTCGGGCGGCGCCGACCGGGTTCTGGTGATGGGAGCCACCAACAGGCCCCAGGAGCTGGACGGAGCTGTTCTCAGGTCAGAACGCCGCCGACCGGAGCAAACTGTCTCAGAAGCTGTGAGACGTTCTGCTGCTGATTTAACTCTCTGAACCCAGAAACCTGTCCGTGGGTTTGATTTTAAAAATCACCAGAATGACACCACAGTAGCTGTAGGAACAGAGAGCTGTTGGATTTTCAACTTTCTGGATCTGGGACTGAACCGTGTACGTCGAGCAGTTCCACCGAGACAGTGAACCAAATCAGAATCACGGCATTGAACTCCTCTCATTTGGAAATTCTCAAAACAACCACGAAACCTTTTGCAGCAGATTCTGGAACGTGGAGGTAGTTCAACATCTGCAGGACGAGGAGACCACAGCAGCTCCAGTAGGATGCAGAGATCTGATGGAACATCACGGGTTGAAGCTCAGGTCTGGTTGGTTTTCTGACTGAAGCGCGTGTAACACAGGATGCGTTCAAGGACCAGCTGAAAGTTGGAAATCTGATAAATGGAGTCATTTTGGTGATTTAAAAACAGAACATGCAGTTGTTACAGGCCTGTTGTCTTCTTCCTTTAAACACGTCAGCGTAGAGCTACACCTCTGGTCGAGGCTGAAACATGGAGGGATGAGGAGCCAACATCCGCTCCAGGTGCTTGTTAATGAAGTAGAATTAATCGTTAAAGAATTTCTACTATTTCCTGAGTCCTGCTGACAGGAGACGTCTCTGAGTTCTCCCTCCTTCTTCACGTGGTTCTGTTTGACTTTATGTTGCACAGAAACACGGACCTCAGTGAAGAAACACGAATAGCAAAATGAATTGTGAGCAGGTTGATTTCAGCAGCTGTGCGTTCTGATTCTGGGCCTGCAGGGGGCAGCACACCTGAGCTGAACACGGGTTTCTTTGTCGTTTGTCTGCAGGCGCTTTGCTAAACGCGTGTACGTGCCTCTGCCGGCCGAACAGGTGAGTCTGGCCTCCGTCAGCGCGACAGGTGAGAAACGTCTGAGGTCACTGAAGCTGTTTGTGTTCCAGACGCGGCTCGAGCTGCTCGACAACCTGCTGCAGAAACACGGCGGCCCGCTGACGCCCCGCGAGCTGAGCCGGCTGGCCAGGTGAGGCCACCGCCCGCCCGCTGGTTCATCATTCATTCACCCGTCACTCTGAGCTCTTTAAACTGGTGCTCTACACATTCAGAGAAAATAGAAGCTCTGAGATTAAAGTCACGAGTTAACAAAGTGGAGGTCAGACATCTGCAGGAGGATGTTTCCTTTGTTACTTCCAGTCTGCCCCAGTTTGTTTCATACGCAACACATTTATTCACTTATTATAAAGATCTCTGACAGAAATGATGGAATAAACCTTCTCCTGATTGGTTCAGAATGACAGAGGGCTACTCCGGCAGCGACCTCGCCTCATTGGCTAAGGATGCTGCTCTGGGACCAATCAGAGGTGAGATCACTTCCTGGATGATTTTGCTTCCAGCAGCAGCAGCACTTTCACATCCTGCTGACATCTGCACACTTCTGGTTTACATCAACTGTGTTTCGTGTTTTGGCAGAACTTGATCCAGAACAGGTGAAGAAGGTGGAGGTCAGCCAGGTGAGTCCAGTCTGCTGAATGTTCTGATGCTCCGTCGCTTCACGTTCCTCTGCAGCATCAAGTCAAACAGAACAACATGAAGAAGGAGAGAACTCACAGACGTCTTCTGTCAGCAGGACTCACAATTACTAACGCTGACCATGGCTCGCTAGCTTTAACTTGTTAGCTTTGGCTCGCTAGCTTT